TGTGAGCGACAAGGAAGCGGTGCGTGGCGGACGCGCCGCGCTTCAGGCCGCTTGCTATAATAAACCATGCGCGGGACGCGCCGCGCTTCAAGCCGATTGCCACTCTAAACTATCGGTGTGCACTCACACAAATGCAATTCTCAGCTTAAGTTGAGAGGACTGTAGTGATCATTTATCTTTTTCGTGTGATCCATTACATTAAATGTTTTTAGAATTTACATGAATAATTGAGTAAATAAATTATGATCATCTAGCCTGAAAGTTTAAGAGAATTTCAATCGAAAACTTCGTTTTTACAAACAACTATTTACTAAACTTTTATTTAGAGCTCTAGCTAGCTTTTTAGCTCTAGGAAAAGCATTGTGTATAATAGGCTCTACTTCAATCGGAAGCTTAAGTTTTCATATAAACTAAACTTTTGTTTACTAATCAAAGTCAAGGAAATGCATTGTGTACAGCGCATCTACTTTTAGAAGTTAGTAACTATACTTTAGTATTTTTATAGCTTAAAATAAAACTACTCATAAACCGTGTTTTGGGGCTAAAATCAAAACAAAGCTTTCGCTAAAGTGAGCATCTAATGCAGCATCTAATCTACGGTGGCAAACGTTGATATCACCGACGGGACAAGCGCATGGTTCACGGCACGCGCGTCATCGACTCTCGCTGAGTAAGCTGAGTTGGTTGAGGTCTGATGAGCCTTCAGTAGAGCGGTGCGGGCCCGGGAGCCGCCGCGCGCCCACTGCGGCTGCCGGCGGCCCGGCAATTAGACCGCACGCGATAGCACAGCCTGGAGGCTACGGCGGCCATGCGGCTTGGAATTAGTGGGACTTGGGAAGGACTTTGTTCAACGTTAGTTTGCTTGCTTTTAGTAGTATAGGCCTTGACTAAAGGGTTCAGTAAAAGACAATTTTAGATCCGAGCTACATAGGATTTGCAGCGGTGGGCACGAGAGGTGGGAATAGTCGTCAAAGAACACGAGGCGAATATTACTGATCGGAGTCGGAGGACGTCCAGACACATTTTTGTCCTCCACTTCGATGTAGGTTAGAAACGTCGCATGATGGTTATGTTAAGAACCACCCGATATTGTAGATACATTATGAGGACACATTTTTATGGGACTTAACAACATACTGTTTAGTTACCTTGCCGCTAGGATTTATAAGCATTACTATTTTCTTCATAACTACTATACAAGAACATAGCCTGCATATCACATTTTTACCTTGATGCAAAATGACTCAATTAAATTAATTAAACGACAAAATTCCAACCGTAATTAAATCTTACATTTTTTAGACTAGTTGTTTACACTCCGAATTTCCTAATTTTCCTAAAACGCTTGTCGCCCTACCGCAAACCCAATTCGGCAATCGCTGCAAGCTCAGTAGGAGCGAGGCGGTTAATGTACAGGACCGTAAAGGATCTGCGGGGCACGCGATCCGCCGCGGGTACATTCAAACGGGGTTATGAAACTTGATTCTATTTCTGAAAATCATAATTTTAGACGGCAATTTGCATTTATGCCGTACAATAGCATGAGTAGAGCTTTATCGTAAGCCCAACGTCGTATGCTATTGAGTTTATTTATAGAAAAATCGGTATCTAAAATTAAATCTATGTAGGCATGCATCAAGACTATTAACGATAGGAATGTTTTTGATACATTACGTATTAGCTTTTAACCGCGGCATCACCCGCCTGAAATTCAGCAAGTTTTTTTTAACCTACAAGAAAAGTCGCCGATTAATATTTGGCATCGCAGCAGTTTCAGGCATATTATACTTACACGTTACACCCTAGGTATATCACCTATCAACCAGTGGTAAAGGCGCTTGTTTCCAATGGAATAAACATGACAATAATTACCATTGAACCGGCAAAAAATAAATGCGGCAATCTGTCAGTGGCCAACAACGCGTTAATATCGATATGAGGCCGATGAGCGCTGCAGCCCGCCCGCTGTCACTGGCAGAAATCGCCGTCTTGCGGCAGGGCTGCCGTCTTGCTGCGTCTTTGGTTCTGCTGGTAACCATAGACTTATTCGTATTATGGAGTCAGCCAGACCATAATAACGCTTAATGCGTTCATATCGTTAATCTTTGATGAGCTGGTGCAAGCACTGGCAGAGACCATCGCCGTCGTTGTTAGACAGTCACTTCTGTTGCTAACGACCGCATATTTATTATTGAGCATATTGATAAAGCAACCACCCCGTACTTACCAGCCTACGTATTAGTAACTGAGTTTCTTGCGCTGCTTCTCCTCAGCACTGGCCCATTTATTTTAGATGGCTGGATTAGATCCAAAACTTTGTTATGTGACTTGTTTGTACGAATAAAATATTTTGTATTTGTATTTTTTTTTGTATTATTGTCCTGAAGCAATGGTATGGTTAATATTGGGATGTGTAAAAGTGCTTTTTAACTGACCATCACTAACGTAGTTTTAGCTTATTTATTGGTGGACGGACAACGTAGTTCTAGTTTAGCTTAGCTTAGTTCACTGAGTTTAGTTTTCATTTAGTTAAGCCGGCGGTGGACGTTCGGCTTAAAAGCCCATTTGAGAAAGTAAATGATTTATGGGTTTTACGTAACCAAATCACTCGTCGATGACAGACTGAGCGGTGGTAGGTAGCTACCATGTAGAGATCAGAGATATGGTTGAGTGATAAAAATCACGATGGCTTGTCTATCCCATATTCCCATCCTTGGCTCACCAGCACTAAACATGTATCAACTAATCGCTGAGCAGCCCTGTCCCCTCGGACCATTAATCACGAGCTGCCGGAGCCAAATTACTCCGGCGGTGACGGACTGCAGCGGTAGCGCCGTGTTGCGTTGCGACCCCATCTGGACTGCTTGTGTGTTGCCACCTTTATAATTGATTGCTCGCATGTTGGATTTTGATATCCTGTTCATAAATTGTTTTCTGGTTTTTGTGGCTGGAGGTCTAGCAGGCTGATGAGAATACTGATGGCTAGGTCAGCCACATCAGTATTCTCATTAGCCTGGGGATTGTTATAGAGATGCAGACGCACTAAGCCACTCATAATACCAAATACTTAATACAAAAACTGAACAGAGTCAGAGACAAGCTGGAATATTATCACCACAAGATTGGTAGAGATTTCCATGTTAAATTTTAGAAGCCAAGTTAATTAAACAGTTCTTAAAGGCAACTCATTATCTCATTTCTTTCCTTACCTATGTTATTGGAATGTCATCGATTCAGTATAGTACGTTAAATTACGTATAGATATAGATTGCGTTTACACAATGTAGGCATAACAGCAATCAAAAGTACTCGTACCCACGTACAGGGCCAACCCTGTAATCGCATTTGTGGCGGAATCCGCGTCGCGTTGACGATTTCTTTCTGGCTCTTTAATCAATTACGCCTAAGGGGATAATGCTTAAGGCCACACACCTATCCGTTCGTGTAACACTCTAATGAGTTGGAAGATTAGGCGCTCAAGTGGCCACACGATTGCTGTACTTATATGTAGAGGCAGAGACTAGAGATCTTGTTAGAGAAACCTGTAAATAGTCTGACATGGATATTAGGAGAGATTGACGCTATCCATACATATTTAGTGAAATTAGCTTAAACTGATTTGATTAGTGTACGTAATAATAAGCTTTTGGTACACTAAACTTCCGACATGAGCGTAAACTTTCCATACCTACTAATTTACAATTAAAGGCGTGCCCTAGAGCTGTCAAATTGTTTGGAGTCTGTTACACGTCAGTTTATTTATAGACTCATTATTCATCTGTAGGTATATCCGTTTTTGTTTCTTACGTTGGGTTACCCGAAAAGTTAAAATAGAATTCGGAAAAATCCTTTAATCTAGTACAGGTAACTGTGTGTCAAAGTTAAAACTAAATTAAAAAAACACACTTGAATTAATTTAAACCAAAAAAGTTAATAAAGAGCAATAACTTCAACGGTTTCCCACGGTTCTCTAGTTAAGGCAAGAATTACGACGTTTGGCATTTCATTAAGTAGGACAACACGACCCCATGCAACTTGTAAGGTAAATATTTTTAATATTTTGCGACGAGCAGCGCCCATAAACAAGGATTTATTTAGCCACAGGATTCCTGTGCACTTTACGACGAATAAACTCGCTGTCTTATGGCGGTCGGCTCGGTATTTAACTTTTTTCTAACTAAAGAGTAGCTTCAGTTTTCTTTTATGTGGCTTTTGTTTTATTTATTTGTAACAGTGGCTTTAATTCAATTGTTTCTATGTTTGTTATCAGCCAGTAATGTTTTCTTTGATATTATTACGCCTTTGATATAATTGTTTTCCTCTTATCTTGTTGGCTGTTACAGACCACCTTTATTATACTTAATTTACTTTTTAAGATCTCTAAATTGATGTCATTTATTTGTTATCTGGAAGCGTGTACTCGAACTGTTTTAATGAAATAAAAATATCTATGTGAAGAATAAACACTTTATTGCAATAATTCAATATTCGGCTCGTACTAACGTTTAATTACAGCTTAATTATTTGATCACTAACCGTCACAGTATCAGTCTCAAGAGATTACAATTACTTAAATATTAATATCAACAAACCAAAGTGACTACATCACGAGTCGTACATTAATTCGGACAATCGAATGATAAACATAATAATCAAATAAGATTAATTTTTGACGATTACAATTTCTTTGTTTGATCTACATCGAAATACATCCACAATCTCCAATTTCACGTAACTACACTTTCTTGTGAAAAAGCGGTACTGCACTTACATAATAACGTTGCATATAATCCAAATAATGCAGTATCTAGTATCTACATCATAACATAATTTTAAAAATCACATTACCAAGAGTGAATTTTATTATTTATATCAATACAACTTAAATAGTAAACATATTAAAAGAACATTTCTCACCTCAAAGTATTACGTAATCGATACCAGTTTTAAAACAGTCGATAAAAATGTTAAAAGTTTTGTCATTAGCATAGATAATAGATAAAAATGCCTTAGGAACAATCTGGATTCCAGTTTATTCTTGTACTGGAAAAGCATTAATGGGTGGTTTAGTTTTGAACCGGTCTGGCTTCTTGACAATTTGATTGCTCTAAAATACCATAATAATAAACTTGCGGTAAGAATTTGGCAGAAATTAAGCTAATTTTAATACAAACATAGCCACGGGGCGTGACCATGAACTTTTTTCGTGTCTAAAACTTTGAGGAGTAACTTAATATCTAATTATTTAGCTATTCTTTAACATCATCAATCATTTATTTAACATTTGAAGATCTCAAATCACATGGCGTGATAACAACAATTAACAAAAGTACCTATTATACAATAAGAATGCAATTTATAACATAAATCTTAGCTGTAATAATGCCACAATTTAGTAAAAATAAGATATTAAATTATCAAATCTCAATTTCAAAGTAATCCAATTTCAACATAATTATCAATATTGTCATACAAAACTAATAAAATCTGTGTATTTATAGATGTACGGGTGAATATCGATAAGCACTATCAACACTAAACGTCATTTCAATACAAAATGGGTAATTACACTTTAGTTAGAATCCCATTAATTTAATTTCGAATGATGTTTCGCCAGTTCTTCAGAGTCCAAAGCTCACTTTCGCACTAATCAATTATCAAATCACTCAGCCATCACCAACGAAGATATTACAACAAACACTATGCAGGGCTTGGAAGAAAAGAAGGATCTTATCGACTCTATCTATCCATCTCTTTCACTTGTGTTTCCATTCTAAAGTGAGTGAGAGAGATGGATGCGAAATAAATAACGTTTTCCGGAACAGGTCTTGCGTTTAAAACAAAGAAAAACGGATATACTGACCTAGAATGCAAATAATTAAACTGCACGGCTTAGGTGAGTCATTGTTAGATATTATAAACCGTTCTACTGAACCGTTCTTGAGCATAAATGAAGATTCGATCCTTTTACAAGTTCCAATAGCCCCAAAAGAAGTTTCAGTTAATTATCTCGTCGATTTTTACCATCTACCTATTTGAGAAACACTCAGCAACAAATAACTCAGAGAAGGGGTGCCACCGGTCGATCAACAATAATTTTATGTAGTTCACATCTCAAAATACCACCTGTCATGAGGGCTTATTAGCGTCTTTATTCTGTTAATTTAAGTATCAGGAACTTGGGTTTATATTCCTTCGAATATAAAGACGTTCTATTACTTTTTTCGGTTGTTTAAAAACTTCAGCTATTTTCGAGCCTGGGGTATGGACTGGGACAGATTTTGACTTTGATCAAAGAGTTCCTGATGAGAATTCAAGATGGTCAGAGCTGCCAGTAACAATCATACATTAGATAAAACCCTCTCCTTATTGCATTAGTGCAATTTGTATGGTCTCCAAGAATATGGGGCTGTATTGGGAGAAAGTCATGTCCAATTGTAGACTTTAATCTGTCTGACTGTCGATGACGTATTCACAATCATCATAGTCTTCTTTAGTTATGCTACTGATATCTGGATTCAATAATTTGGTGGAACACGCCTATACATGTATATCATTGTTGATCAACAGCATGGCCTTCTCGAGTCAGCATGGCAGCAGTCGGTAGCTTCTCCATCCTGTCCAGACTAGTCGGTCACTAAGTGAGCCAGTATATCGATGCTCGGTATCGTGGCGGTTCAGGGCCGGGTCTGCAACAATGTGACATTGATTAAACTCACTTATCAGGCATTTATCATTGTTTGTTGTGTCTATTCTAACCGCAGCGTAAGTAATGGTGCCGTTTTGTACCATTGATAGAGTATTCGCAAGTGAACTAAAACTACTTGTGTGTTTTATCCATCTCTATTACTAACCTATAAACTTGGGATGAATGACAGATAAAGCTAATTGATTAGGAATTTTGTGTTCTACAGTCCAAGAACAGATCCCAAAGAGTAAATTAACGCTAGTTTTTTGTTCCTCTTTGTAGGGTTTTGTAATGCTGAAGTTATCTATGCATCGCGCGCAATAGGTATCTTGGGACGGGGTGTGGTTGGCGCCACCACTCCTTGCCCGCTCATCAAACTTGAGTACGTGACCAGAACGGTGAAGTCACAACCCACATTACTCAGGGAACGATTATACCTGCATGCACTCTTTTCGGTAAATAACTAGTATCTACAAAAAATACCTACTTATTAGGATTGGGTACATGTTGATAATTGCACATAGTTCCTGGTAACTTGTACACTTGGCCTCTTTATCAGCGCTATAAATATGTATTTCCATGAATAAGCAGCTATAGGCACCTACACATAACGCGAAAAGACATAGATATGTACATTAAAGAAACCATTTCCATTGCAAACTAATTTAGATGTAAATTAGAAAAAAAGAACAATGTTAAAAGTATAGAAGTTTTATTCCTCGTCCCTTCTTTATCTACGACACATTATTTTAGTATTTTGCCGGTTTTGTTTGTCACAGGAAGGAAAATGGTCACTAAAACGAACAATTATTTCAGTGTCAGCCCATTTATGTACACAAAATGTTTTCAACCGTTCCAAACACATAACCACATACTCATTATCCCATAGTTAACAATCGCCATAAATGCGGGACTTAACGTTTAATTGATACGCCGACCATTCGGTCACCGCAATGGGCGTTTGATCACTCGTTAATAATAACAATACAATCGATTGTTTGTCCGTCTGTCGATAAACAGCCATCGATTTCACTCGTCATTGCTCACTGTGCTGTGGCTGCTATAAAGGTTGATCATATATTGAAATATACACTTTTTCCGGGAAATTGATTTGCCGTAAATATCCATTTAAGATGTTTTATAGATACGAATCCGACTGCTCACACTTTAATCCGAAAACATCAATCAACACTTGCCTATTAATCCTTTATGTAGAGTCATGGGGGTGTGTCTGCGAAGTGCCTGAAACTTGTCATAGGTTTTTAAATATGTTTGCGATAGACCGAAATCTACGAGGCAATTTTGCGGGATGTCATGTTTCAGCCAAACGAAACGAAAGAACACCTTATTACATAACAAATTTTCGGACTTAAGTACATTTTGATGACAAAACTGATTGATCGGGTAATTCAATTCTAGACCTACATTCGAAAGAAGGAAATGGTATCGGTGCACGGTGGTCTTTCTAATCTAATCGCCAAGAAAGTGGAATTATAAATGTAGATAAAAAAATAAAACCTATATATCTTTTGTTAAAAAAGTAATATTACAATACTAATAAATGTTCAAAGCTAATTCATGGGTTATTAAAAGATTAGATAGAGCAGCCGACTAAAAGTCTTTCACTTTGGCAGGAGAACACAATGACATTATGTGCAATTATTCCTTTCTTACTTTGCTCTAAAATATGCGGCAGCTTAATTTTTTTCTGAAGTAGAATATTATTAACAGCTGACGAAGTTGCTACCGAATACTTATCTATCATGGCGATAAGTATAGATACTAAGCAGCCCAGAGCGTAGAGCCAGAGAGCTTACCCTTGAGCTAATGATACAAGGATGAAGAAGCTATGACCAAAAAAAGCGTGCAAGACATGACGATGCCTTCAGGCTTGATCTCCTTTATTCCCATCTACCCCCTTAGGGCTAAGAATCCCGGAAATAGGTGTATTACTATTGTCAGTAGCAAGCCAACCCTTCCCATCCGATTTATAGCAAACTCGACGTGGCTAATTGCGGCGGCGACATGCTCGCGGCCGCAAATTGCGTCTCTTGTCACACAACAATGTGTTATTACGCGATATTGGACATGATTAGCATGTGGTTAGCAATTACGCATAGTTGGAGTTCGCGCGTTTGTCTTCAGCTCGGCAGGCCGTTTGAGACTGCCACTGTGTAATAACGCGTATTTGGAGATTGCGTGTCTTGCTTCTTTCCTAAGCCTGTTAGTTTGACTTGAAATTCTTGTTTTGATTGAAGTTTATGTTGTGGTATAATTGCCGTAAAATTAACTTGCTTTGCTTGTTTTAAAGCATATTTTCATTGCTGCTGACAGAATTTGTAGAGACTGAAGAACCTTCCCTTCATTCGTTTAGTTGCTGATTTTGGCTGCTTAGCAGTTCTAGTGTGTCTTGGACGTGTTCCGGGGTCTTAAGCGTACTGGATGCAACAGCTGGTCGTATGCCAGAGCTTTCAAAGACTGGAAATTCCACAACTTACTGAAAAGCTCCTAAATGAGCGATTACCTTGTAGTAAAAGTACCTAGAGATGGTTCCGTTTTCCATGCTGCGTTCACACAGAACAGTTCCTTCCCAATTTGCAATGGGTAGGTATTTCGAATGCTAGTGGTTAAGCAACGTTAAGCGTCATAGTCATAATTTCAGCCAAAAGACGGACTAAGGCCTCCCCCAAGGACTTTCACTACGACCGGTCCTGCCCTATTCGCCTCCAGGTGTTTCCTGCGATCTTCACCAGATCCGAGTGAGAGATCTGTCCACATTACAAGCGTCGTAGAAGGTTTCTTCATAGCTTGCAAAAAAGTAAGGAAGCCCAATAAGCCCATACCTGCGTTCACACAACGTAGTTCCTCCCGGGCGCGCGCTCTCGCCGCCGCCGTGTTGTCATCCAGGTAGCGCAGCGAGTGAGATCGTCGGTCCACCGAGTGGGAAGACTGCTCACACTGTTACCGTTAGTAGTCCTGCATAACTTTGGAAACACACCTGCGTTCATACAACGTAGTTCCTCCCGGGCGCGCGGCGGCCCAGCGCGAAGGGCCAGGCCCGCGCGCGCGCCGCCGCCGCCACGTCGCCGCGCAGCAGCGCCACCACGTCGTCCAGGTAGCGCAGCGCGCGCGACTCCGCCGTCAGCGCGCGCGCCGCCGCCGCGCACCGACATGCGCGCGCCGATTGCGCCTGAGGGGTTAACAACACTATGTTTTTACTAGGTATTGATTGATATCGCATTCTTTTTTGGGACAGGAGGTATGCGAGTCAACGGGTCACCTGATGGTAAGTATGAGTAGGCGCACACCGTTGATTTTTAGTTGGCCGATAGTTGTGCCCGATTTTAATTTGTATGAAGAATCGGCCAAATCGAATCGGCGTAGTGTGCGCACTCCCATACATGTCCATACTGATCAACTGCCCGACTAAACTATCGGCCGACGAAAAATCAACGGTGTGCGCCTACTCTAAGTGATTACCGTCGCCCATAGATATCCGCAGTAGAGATTGCAACCAGGTATGTTTCTCAACCCGGCCGGGCGCAGTTGGTATATAGAAATGCTACTTCGGTACGTCTCCGCCGGCAAAGACGAACGGAATTAGTATTTCCTAACGATAAACACGCGTAAATGTTGTTTGCAATCTCTAACCCACAGCCCCGAAGAAGTTACAGGCGCGTTGCCGGCTTTTAAGGTATGCTTAAGAAAGATTGTAAGGTTGTTCCTAAATACCGCAGACGACAGTCCATTCCACAGTTTGGTTTTGCGGGGCTGGAAGTTTCTGGAGAAAGGTACAGTTGTGGACTGTCGACCATCTAAGTAATGGGAAAATGGAAATAGGTACTTAAGCTGTGCAGCATACAGACCACCAGCTTCTTGGGATCTCGTTCTTCAACTCGAAAATGTACATTTTTATTCGGTCAAGAAGAAAATGAAAATGAAAATGTTTTATTTGATAAATAAAGTGGATTAGCAAGATATTTTGGTAACCATCCTTTTACGAGGGGCGGCTGAAAAGTTTTGAGCCTAGGGTATTAAAAATGCCGATAGAAAAGTATAAAAAATATATTTCTCTACTTAATCTCCCTCTACTACAACGCACTTCTTACATTTGTGTAAAAGAGCTTTTAACCCACTGAAAAAAAATTCGCAATCTTTGCCTCCGAAATGAGCCTTTAACGCCGCCTTCATTTCTTTGTCACTCAAAAATCTTCGTTTCTGGAGGTCATTTTTCCAATTTGAGAATTAGAAAAAAAAGCTAAGGATCCGGACTAAACTGTGTGGTAGGCGATTAATTTCTTGAAATCCAGTTTTACCCGGGGCAAGCCGTGCAACATGCGCGGTGTTCACGGGCGAATTGTCTGGCAATAACAGATTTCCTTTCGCCAGTTTGCCTCTTATTATTTCGACAACCACTTGACGCACTCTTATCAACAGTACAGCAAAATAATCCCCGTTTATTGTAGTTTTTTTAAGTAGGTAGTTAATGAATAAAATTCCTCCACAATCCCAAAAATAATGGCTATGAGCTTGGGTGTCGATCGCTCCGCTTTGAATTTCCGCGGCGGCGTTTTCCCTTTTCAATTCATTGCATTGACTCTTGTTTTGACTCTGAATTGTACTGCCGGATCTATTATTTATCAATGGTGACAATGAGGCAAATGCAAATGCATGAGTGCAAATGAAAAAATTGCTAGGATTATGGCCAAAGATGTTCTAAAACTCCTGCGAAGTTGTGACTCGATGCTGGTTGTCGAGTGGCGTGAGCATTTTTGACTCCCATGCACACCCCTTATTCATGTGCAAATGAGTATGAAAAATATCGCCGATACGTTCCTTGCTAATGCCTATGGCTTCAGCTATCTGTCACAGCTTAATTCGCGGATCTCTAGAGCAAGATTCTTTAACTTTTCATTATTTTATTCGTTAATGGCGAAATCTGGCCGCCCTGACTTGCGGTCATCTTTTAGCGACTCCCTGCCATGCTTGAATGGACATGGCGCACAATTTTTGTTGAAGATGCAAAAAAAAACTACAAAAAATTAGAATGAATACTGTATTTTTACTTTTTTGATATCTTTAAAAATAACTGAAATATTCAAGCTCAAAGTGCGCTCTTCCGCTCGGAGCGATTTTCCGCGCGGATTTTGAAAATGTGACGTAGTAACATGAAAAGCAGCATGCAAGATATTATCTGTGTACAATGGTTAGAATGGTTAGTAGGGGAGCCGAAGCGGGGATTTCNCGGCTATAAACGAGGTCACAAAATTCGGAAAGAACATAGCGAAATCTATTTATTCACCAATTCTCAAAAATTCCGGAAAACTTTCCAAGTAAAATTAACAAATAACTGGACTATTTACTCGTTATTGAGCACAAAGACACAAACTTGGTTATTTTTCCAGAAAATTTGTATTTAAGTGCATAAAATATGTAAAAATGGCTTCATAGTGCACAAAATTGGCAATAGGTGGCATAATAATGGTTACTTTTTAGCGCTTAGTTTGAAATGTGATTGAACGATGACAACTAACAACAGTTGTCAGTTAGGTAAAATTTTATTTTAGTTGGAAAAAGACAAAAAGTGGTAAATGGGTTAACGTCCGGGGGCTGCAAAATCATGTTGTGACGTCACGCGCGAATATTGAACATTTTTGAAAATTTTAAAAAGTCCGTAAACTTCTCGAGGCTCTATCTTCGGTAATACTGGATGGATTGAGGTGAAATAAAAACTAGTGTAATGTGTGTGATCTAAACTTTAAATTAAGTCATAATTTAACTTAATATTACAACTTATGCGTGTTGTCCATTATCGGATCCAATCTTTCATGGTGGAAAATGAAGGCCCAGACTCCCCATAAACTGTCGACATCTCTGCAAATATTACCGTCAGCGTTTTGTTCTTCTTTGTGAGGCATTTTATGACAACTGTGTACTTCAATTTCGTACATTGCGCGGATGACTGAGACATGATGATGTTTACGGATTAATTACTAAAAACGTGATGACGCTAATGAAATGAAACTTTGTACATATACTAAGAAGGTTATTGGCAAATTAATTAAATTTAGTGCGAGTCAATAATAACACTTGAAGATACTTAGGCTCAAAACTTTTCAGCCGCCCCTCGTAAGTATAAGAATACCTGTAGTAGGAGGTTACCGCTCTTCCAAAAGTATTAACATACATTCTTAGTTAGTGTGTTTGTGGACTTTGTGGTGTAGAAGAGTAATGAGTCATCGCATACAACAGACTTTTTATCAGCTGATAGTTTGTCAGGCCAAAAGAAATCAACCAAATCGGTGTAATTTGCGTGTTTCATACTTGTTCACACTGATTAATAGCGCGATTAACTATAGACTGACAAAAAATCCGTGCGGTGACTCTATGAGTAAATTCGTTTGACGCCAGAATAACAAAACTTGTTAGGCTATTTTACAGTTAGAACAGATGTTTGGGTGTCTTCTGTCGTCCATCATCTATCAATTGAATCGATGGAGTTAGATGTTCATTTTATGATTCACCTCCACTTGCAGCAGGGCTGGCCCGTCAGTATAAGATTGTATGTAAAATGCGAATTAAGCAGAAAAATTCGATTAGAAGAGCTAGTTTTGAACTTTTTTTTTAAATATTGTGCGATTTTTTTACTAGATTAGATAAATATTACAAACGATAAAGATAACTTAATAAGTTAAGTAACCTGTTAAACTACTACTCAACTAATTATTTATTTTTGTTTTATAGCACTTCCTATATCTACTAACCTCGTTGGCAGAGTAAGTTTTAGTGATTTTGTGCAATAAAATTTGTTTTTGACTAAAACACACAAGAAATATTTTTCTTTGCTTGATACAAATATGTTTTTTGCTGGTCGTCGAAACGAATTTCTCTTTCTTCCTTGGTTCGTGCTTGTTTTATTTATTGGCAAATTAACTATCGGTATCGAGTGCGGTACAAGACAGCATCCGTTGTAAAATACGTATTACAATACTACTTATATCGAGCTACTAGATAAGTATGTATTTTAACGCTAAAATTGGCAGCAGCAAGGTCTAGGAGATTACGAAATAATTGGTTTGATCCACCTACTTATTATGTACTCCCGGACGGAATCTGGGTAGCCTTGTCATGTCTGTGTAAACTTATAAAAAATATAAACATTAACAAACAAAAACTGGTGTCTACTTTTTTTAGAAACCACTTATGTGTCTGGGACTTGGGTAACGGGCTCGCACATCTTTCCGTAAAAGGAACCTGGCATTAACTTTTACTATCTAAAAGTGAAACTAAACAGTTTCTAGAAGAAGTATTATTACCTTTTAATTGGTAGAAAATTCTTATTTTATTAATTTACCACGTAGCGAAAAAAAGTAACTGCTCGGTAGACTAGATACCTACTCTGGTTTTTGTGCAATAAGCAATGAAGTATCGGTAAATGCTCGAGGAAATATGAATCGTCCAAAGAACACACAGATCTATCTGTAAATGCAATGGATATTGAACTTTCGGGAAAATAATAACTAATAAATATTATGGCATGAAATCGGTCGCTCATAAAAATTCGCACCATGGCCGCGTGGCTGTATTGTGACCAATCACTGTACAACAACGAAGCATAGGTAGAATATAGAAAAAGACAATATACTAAGTGAAAGTCGCGAGCCGGTACACATTCATTAGCCGGTCAATTAAGTAGTAAAGTAATTTACTCGTACGAACCAGGCTCGCAGAGGCGCCAATAACAACAGCTATCCGATGTCCGCGACTCGTTACCGATAATTGTGCCATTATAATATCGACTCCGGTCAGCAGCACAAAATCCCTCGATAAGCATTCAAAACAATCGGAACATAGAACAAGCGAACAGTTGCAACACCTCATTTGATTACCCACTTTAAAAGCCACACGAAAGTACCAAACCAAATTTAGAACTAGCGCAACCGGTTTAGTAATGTAGCGTCTATGAATATCAATGTCGATTCCCCGACTTCACGTAATTTCACACAATTGTGTAATTCACTGGTTCTATGCCCGAGATGGTGGTGTGGGAGTGTTCGGAAGCGTCAGGTGCGTTGTGCGAAGGCGTCGCCGCCAGCAAGCAACGGTACCAACGCGTCAGAGGTCGCGGCGCGCCACGCGCCGGGCCAGCACCTGGATGTCCTGCTGGATGCCGGCCAGCTCCTCGTGCAGGCCGCGCGACTCGGCCAGCAGCGCGTCCAGCTTGCGCGCCGCCGCCGTCAGCCCGCTGTCGTCGCTCTCCTCCTCGTCCTCTTCCACGGACAGCGCCAATTTCCCCAGCCGTTCCCTCTCGACTGCCTCCTTTACGCCGCCGCCGTGTTTTCTAAACTCCCGCAACAGGTCCCGCCTCACATTGTTCCCGCCCGAACGCTCGTCCTCCTCGGCTTCCCGTAATTCGTCTGCCAAAGATCTCTCCGATCTCGGATCACGAGGTTTAGGCGTAAATGACTCTTGATTTTCAATTATTTCATTGTTTTCTTCCTTATTGTTCACTTCTTTCCGGGGCTCAGGAGTGGGGGCAGCTGACAAGGCGGGACTCGGGGATAACAGAGCTCTCTGGAGGAATCTTCTCGTGTCCTCATCGAACGGCCTGGCCAGGCCGCGCCGGGGCGCGGGTTTCACTATGGCCTCCAGGGTTTCTCTCCCGGGGTCCTCGGGGCGCAGCAGCTCCAGAATCTTGGAGCGCGGCGGGGATATGCCCGAGCACACGTCGAACCTCGACACCAACTTTCCTTTGCTGGGCGAGGTGTTGACGTCCCCGGTGGGCGTGTAGGCGCGCAGCTTTTCGTTGAGCAGGCGGTAGTTGCGCAGCTTGTTGTTGCCCTCGGGCGGCAGCGGCTCGGAGCAGTCCTCGGGGTCCGGCTCTATTATTTCGATGTGGGTGCACTCGGGCTGCGTGAAGAGGTTCATGTCGATCGCGCGGCGCGCGCGGACGCACTGCGCTGCGCACGCGAGCTCGTCCGATAACACACTAATTAGCGAATTCGCTCATTATGTTGGGGAAACGCGAGCGGCGTGAAGGGCCGCGCGGGGCCGGGCCGACACTACGCGGCGCCCGCGACCTGCAGCCCTAATCTAATTATGCCTCTGTGCCATGGAGAAATCAGTGACACAATATTGACAATCTGGGCAGACTAGCGGCAAACGAGCAGTCGTAGTTTCGTGCGGGCGTATTGTTGCTCGCACGCGTTTTCTAAACTCGGCTTACTTGTGCATCGGTGTTTCACTTTTGTTAACCGGAATGCATTTGTAACTCGCCGATCATGGATGACTGAACATGAGCTAAGCGTACAATAAAATTGATATGTAATACTGCAAGGTGATGCCCTAAATTGATTTAGTGCAGAATAATATTGTAAAAAACATTAGTTTTTTTAGTATAGGTATTTTTTAGCAAACATAAACAAGGTGATTGATAGTCTGTTGTAGTTAGCTAATGACCTAAAACCAAACTATTTTAGTTAATGATTTCTTTTATTAGTAATTTTTACAACAGAATGAATTAGCTTTCCCTTCTCGCCTTTTGTGGCCTTTTCATAGTTTATTGTTAATCTGTATCTTTATCTTTAGTTGTGACGCAGTTTGATTAATTAACCTCTTACTGATATAATAAAGCATACGTTTACCTTATTACTGGGGTATATGATTCGCGAGTAAATAATAACATTGATAAGGGGAATGAATGATGTAATTCATGAGATGAAAAAAGCAATATTCGATTCAGTGATCGTCAAATACCTAGGTATTCGTGAAGTTGAATGTGCATATTACATTAATATTCCGTGATATCACTATCTAATACGAGTATTCTATGGAAATAGACAATATAAACCAGCTTATAATATGTACTCATTGATAACAATGACATCGCATCAGTTCGAATTATAAAAAAATAATAATTAAAACAATAGTCATATTTCACTAACTAACTCAACTGCTTAGCATTTATTATCTTTCTCGAAACTGGTGTTGTTGGTAATTTGATGTTACAATTTGCTCCAGAAACAAAAAAAAATTGTCACTAGCACTCATTGTTACCTGGAAAGCATGAATAATTGGCTTACAGATTGGATCATAAATAAACAATTACAATACATTACGCACATACATACATAAACACCATTTTAAATTCAGTGCATTTCACTTTTCACTGAAACTAGTCAAAAGTACTCGGGATTTATTTTAAACGATTCATTATTTCGAGTGACGTTTAACAACGCGCTTCCACTTTGACCTTTAATTATTGTGATAACCTGATTTATTTGCAGCAGAGGCGGCCATTTGTAAAGTAGTTAGTTTAGCCGTGTTCCCTTACGGAACGGTTTGTCGTTTGTTGGATTTGTCTTCGTCTTCAGTTAAGCCAACCTTTACGACACTATTCTCGTTATGGCAGCTGCTCTCGAGTGCAGGATCTACAGCTTGACCGCCAATAAAAACCCTATACGAATCTGGTATTCCTTGATCGAACCGAGACGACACGTCTTTTATGTTGCGTATCGATCAATGTGATTGATTGAGGTATTATTGTGAAACCAAACCTGTAAGGTCTGATTTCAAGGTCTGTTCCCTTTTTATCCGTAGGTAATGTAATGTCCTAATAATAAAAGTCACATACTTTTTTACTACGACCTCATAAAGGTAGCAGGAAGGCGCTAGATGCAGGTCGCTATCAATGGAGATCATTGAGGGAGGCCTATGTTCAGCTGTGAACGTCCTGTGGCTGAAATGATAAATGTAATGTCTTCACTGATTAGGTTTAATTAACGGTCAATGCACTTAAAACCCGTTCCAAAGACAAGGTAGTTTTTCATATTAAATATGCCTAAAGTGTTCAGCATAAACATACGGTTTGAAAATATAACAAATGTGTTTGGCAACTGCAAGTAGTGTTATGCCCGTGTAATGCACGCGGTATCTACTCGCTTACAAGGCGCTGCACATACAGGTTGATGTTACTGAACAGCAACGCTAAATAATAAGTTAAATTAATACTGTTAGTATAAAATTTTATGAAAAGAATGAAAGAAAGTAACCATAGTCATAATACGTTACAGAATGATTGATGGTGACATATCGTGAATTCAAAAACACGACAGTGATAACAAATAGTGCTTAGAATTGTTTATTTTGTGACCTTTAAAGGTAGTAGTTATTCATTCCCGCAATAGGTAGATTAAATGATTTATGGAAGATTGTCTAGCTTTAATTTTATAGCTTTTGTAGCTTATTTAACCTGTCAGAAGCATTGCTGTATATTTGAGAATTTTGAGAGAAGAATTGGTCTACTGGTAATTACGTGTCGCCACCACCCTGTATGCCGAAATTAAATAGTAATTTATTATCAGCGGCCCGCTCGCTGCAAGGCGCTCTCGCTATAAATTATCGTGTTCGACCGCGGCTAGATATCGCGTGGATGCCTGAATATACTCCGTTTGGCGCTTGGCAATTCAGCACACATTATTGCAGTCTTATTTTGTATTTATATTTACTGGCTGACGTTTATTTAGATGGTCATTGTCCTCTTTTTCTAAGCTGATTAGGTCCTTGGGAGAGTGTGTGTTTTATCTCAAATGTCTACAACGAACAAAGGCCACCCTCGTTGATATGTTACTCTATGTGGAGATCAGATTACCCGAGAATAACTTTATTGGGAATTTGTAGAGAAAGGAGAATTAATTATTTGATTAGGGTACGTACTCGTAAATGTATGATGTAAAACATATCATTGTACACATTGGTCGCAAAAAGTTATATTTCAAAAGGCCTTTTCTGATGACGACCATCAGTTCAGAGGCGCCAGTCCAAAACGCAAGTAGTAACCTCCTGAACTGCATCTAACACATTCTACACTTAACATTATTTATGTTCTTAAAACAATTACATTCCACTAAATCATACTCAAGCTGTTTATTTGAATGTGCGTAATCAACACCCGGTACAATAGGATTAGTGGGATCGGCGGCGTTATGTTCAAGCGTGATTCAATGTAACACCTTGTATATTTGCCCAAAACAAATCTATAGCTACCCTAGGGAATGGCCGCTGTGAAATAAATGACCTTATCTCTGAATTTCAGGAAAGAATACAGGGTGGCGGACAATGCTAGATGGCCGAATAAATAAATCGAACGTCAATCGAGTGAGATACCATCGCGCTCGGTGGTCTCACAATGGAATTGGGCATTTTTTAAAATATTGACGCAGATAATAAAAACGAGTTGGCGAAGGTTTCGGTTCATTTTAAACAAACCTTATTTAATGTTACAGATGAAATATTTTTACGCGACTGCAGAAACGAGGGATCTTGTGCTTTCCAAGAGTATTTTGTAGAACGTTTCATTGTAGCATAATGGAGTTTGCATGTAGGCACATCTTGCTTGATATCATGAGTGTCGTAGGCTAAATGGCACAAAGGGAAGTCCTATTTATCCTATAGGTTTTTAACATACTTGTTAGCGACGTCGACCAAGGAAATACGCTAACTTATTAATTAGAATCGATTAGCAACATTAACAGTCAGAAAATGTTGTAAAATAATCAATTAGAGTCGATTAGGTATAAATAACATTCCATCTCTTTCTCACATTATCTCTCATCTCGCTTGCACATCAAATACTCTTCCACACACTTCTGGAATATTCGAGAGAAAAAGAAACGGGACGGCAACATCGGACCTCTCGCTTCGAACATTCCAGAACTATGGTCCAGAACATGAGAGACAGAGACAGGAATATCGGGAGAGAAAGGGATGGATATAGCCCGGGGCCCTATAAATACGGAGCGAGGCGCTCCGGGAGACAAGTTTGAGTTTGTAATGTTTTGTTCAGTTCAGAGAACGAGTGCTCCAAGCAACAAGTGATCTGAAGAAGCAAGAACTGAGAAAAGGAAGCGAATAATAAACGCGAGAAGTCTCAGCAAGTGAAATAGTGGTTTTATTCCTGCAAGTAGCACCTACTACGCCTGACATAGTAAGGGCAAGCTCTCAACGGCAGTCATCATCGTCCGGTCAGCGCTCTCGAACACACACAAACGCATACAGTCCACTGCAGTCCACCACATTTTCCTGGTCCTTCGAGCCGGATCACCACATTTACTCTTCCACACACTTCTGGAATATTCGAGAGAAAAAGAAACGGGACGGCAACATCGGACCTCTCGCTTCGAACATTCCAGAACTATGGTCCAGAACATGAGAGACAGAGACAGGAATATCGGGAGAGAAAGGGATGGATATAGCCCGGGGCCCTATAAATACGGAGCGAGGCGCTCCGGGAGACAAGTTTGAGTTTGTAATGTTTTGTTCAGTTCAGAGAACGAGTGCTCCAAGCAACAAGTGATCTGAAGAAGCAAGAACTGAGAAAAGGAAGCGAATAATAAACGCGAGAAGTCTCAGCAAGTGAAATAGTGGTTTTATTCCTGCAAGTAGCACCTACTACGCCTGACATAGTAAGGGCAAGCACTCAACGGCAGTCATCATCGTCCGGTCAGCGCTCTCGAACACACACAAACGCATACAGTCCACTGCAGTCCACCACAATACTCTTCATGTGACACATTAGTAAAATAAACCTAATTCTGGCAACTTATTCTCAGCTGTTGCTACATGTTAGTCCCAAAGGGCTAATCCAAAAAGGTCCATTAATCAAAAAATAGAGAAGGGAAGAACAATTTCCAAATACATGTATATCAGGTATCCAGTGAAAGATTGAGCGTAGGTAATGTAGAGAATTGACTCAACTTATAGCACGACTCACGCAGTCCCTGTAGTACCTACGACGCCGTGACGTCACCACACCGAACTGATTAACGCCACAATTAAATCTGCCCATTATCAATGCGTCCGTAGCTCACCTGAAATTATCACTGATAACGTGATAACGCGAAACAATCCGTGATACGTACAACCAGCCGCGAATTTCGGCGGGGCGTTATCATCAGCGGTGGTCTGGGGTACCTAGGGACAGCCACTACCTTTCCTGGGCTGATTGGTATTCGAGACCTCTGCTGATCCTGGACTTAAAAGCTTTTTATCTTTTTTTTTGGAGGTTAATCATGATTGATTCACGTAATTAATCGATACCCGATTAGTGCAATGGGTGGCGTTTGACTGTGATTTTATTCGGTGTTAAATTTACGGATTAGCGTTGGTAGTTTAGTCCTTTGTAGGTAACTATTAGGTCAGTTTTGTCTTGATGTTTTTCGATTGAAACTATTTTATCCTTTCCTTTATTTTTCTTGGCCTGATGAGTAAAATATTGGTACAAATATGTGTCAATAGAAAATACAGTAACATTACATGTGTACTAATGTAATCAATCAATTGCTAGAATTGCTAAAATATTATTTCTCTATTCGGGTTTCGGTATACATACAGCGATCGAAACAAGTTTGCGCAATCATGCTATCCTAATACTAATTAAGTTACAAGAAAGACAACTGAAAGGAACGAACATTTAACTTGAGAGTCATCTTTGAAATAAACTGAGCAACGCTCTTTCAGTCAGTCTAGTAGTCTAGTGCTTCTTTATAATTAGTCTAGACTCTAGTGTTTCAATTCGGAACAAAATATTATTTAATGGTAGGTATTTTCTGCTATTTCTGAACTATTTCCGCAGTTAACTGAAAATTGTGTAAGAAATATATTTTGCTTTTCTCGACTGAAGTGCTTGTTTACTTAGGAAGGTACTCTAGGTGCCCGGGTACTTGAGTGTATAAGTACTTTAACTCAAGAGAATTTAGTGCTAATATTGCGATATTTACCGTTTTGTTTTGTAAATTCAAGTTTTACATTGCCTATTCAATTTGACTGAAAATTATTTTTATTATTACAACTATCATTACGGTTTTAAATACAGCACATGCCTCTGAGATAATTGCGAGTGCTAATCAAATTGATATTTCCACGGGTCCAACAGGACTTGAACCTACAACCATAGCTTATGTCGTAGTATGGAGACCGCCGTTCTCCGTAGCCTTCGATAATTTATACAGTCCATGACTGTCCAAGTTGGGCAATTGCTATTCATTTGACAGCTCCAAAAGGGTCTGTGGTATTACCATTGCCATCCAAATCCACTGGTCAATATTTGTCGGCGACCGAATCCAAGACTTCAGATTGGTTGTTAATCCTACTTGTAAAGATACCTTCGCGTGGCGAGTGCCATCGAGTGCTGAAGTGGCCCTTCATTGGAGTGAGCGAAGCGAGTGCCGGGGGCTGGGGCCGCGGCTAGGGAACCTTCCCAGCGTCCACTTGAGGAGTCGGCGTCGGTAGTGGACCGCGACTCGGAGGTTCGAGACTGACACCGACTTTAGAGGGCGAGGTTTTGTTATCTAACGGCAGCCATTTTGTTTTTTTGTTTTTTGTTCTGATATTGGTTTTGTAACTTCGAAGTTACTTTGCAATTTTTTTTTGTCTTCTATCTTTTTAGTTCGTTTCACCAAATGACGTGCACAGTTGGGCAAAGGTCTCCCCCAAGGATTTGTTTTTTAATACTACCTACGTACCGTACCTACTCTATGTAAATAGATACACTACATTTTGTAGAATTTTTATAGTTTTGAAGGAAAATTCCAAACAATTTGATTTCTTTAAGCAAAGTATGTTTTCAGTTTTTCTTCTGTTGTACCTACGTTACGTGCAGCAGAGTAGGGAAACAATTCACATTTATTTATACACAGAAACCTTACGACTGGCATGCATCAGATTGGTTTTGCACGTGTTGCAGCTAAAAATAACGTTACCTTTTCAATGTATAATCACATTGATTTGTGCACTGGATGAAAGAATCACGCCTTCAATCAGTAAGAAAAACATAGCTTCTGATATTTTTATCAAATTAATGTTATTATCTAAAGAAAAGAAAAGACATAAACTGTACTTTTTACAGACTTTCATATTAGTAACTACTAGCAAGAATGTTGGGTTTTCTAAACTTTGTAATCCATGGTATTCATGCGAGTAAATCGAAACGTAATAATAAGGTACACTTACTTTAGCCATTTCTCTACCTTTAAGTAGAATCTGATACCAAATAAGCCCTAATGAGATATTAATAAGCCCTTACCAGTTCCAAGAAGCTTAACCTTACTTCTCCTATATAATAATATTATTTCTTCCTATTGCTAATCAGCTTGATTCATCATTCGTATTTTTCGCTTGAAAAGGAAAACGGGAATGTTGGGAGGTGTCTAGATTATGAAAGAAACGTTTTAATAATAAAGGTCACAATGATTATTATTATACATAGGTATAAATAGGCACCTGTTAAAACATGTTTCGTGTCAGTGCCTATTTAATAGATTTGAGCGATAAATACTGCCTGTCATGTTGATATTTTTATGAAAATCAATATCTAATGGTTTATTCAAATAACTTTCGACACTAAAACTTATGCTTTAATGTATGGAATGTATAAGTTTTTCATTATTTAGTCGCCATTGTGTCTCTACTTAGTTTAGGGAAAGGTAATTGGTGTGATTTTTCAGTATATTTCAGACTAGATTTCCGCCCTCAGCTTCGCCCGCGTGGATTTTTCTCTGTCACAGAAAAACTTTATCGCACGCGTCCCTGTTTCAAAAACAGGGATAAAAACTATCCTATGTCCGTTCCTGGGACTCAAACTATCTCTATGTCAAATTTCATCAAAATCGCTTCACTGGTTTAGGCGTGAAAGCAAGACAGACAGAGACAGAGTTACTTTCGCATTTATAATATTAGTATAGAGTATAGATAAAGTAAAGCTAATTTTAGGACTGCAACAATGTTTTTCAGTTGCTGAGCAAATAATGGTAGGTTTTAAAAGCGTTTAAAATTCATTTATTCATTGCATTATATTTATTTATTATAGCATTGTTCTCATCTTCTTTTTTATGATTGTATGGCGTTAATACTCGTATTATTTACGAAAGAAATTCCATCATCTCGATGGACAACGACTTATGCATCGGGCTGTCAAATCAGGAGGTTGTCGGTTGAAATTGAAACCACATTGACTGTTGCACTTGTGGTAGGCCGACTCCCAAAAAAAGTGAGTGTACCTACCTATATTTAGCTTAATACACATTAGGCACCATACATTACTTATTATATTGTAGTGTACAAATCAACACCAGCTTTCATAGACTTTGAGTAGGTACGTAGGTCTCTAGGCTTAATTTGCTCTGCATACAACTACGATGCTACTACGTTATTAAGTTTAGCAAATACTGAAAGCAATCAAAAAATAAAATTCAAATATCTTGATTACTCAAAACAAACTGATCACGCAAATTGCCTGTTTCCTAATTCATCCCAATCCCAGATTCAATCCGAAAATGTCGAAATATCGGAATTAATCCGTCGGCTGACCTGCGAGGCGTTTATTGGAATTAGGTCAACATCCAATTTAATATTAAAAAACAGCGTCAGTAAACTCGGTTCATTCTACGTGCAGGCGATACCGTGCGTAGCACACGTCGTTCATTCACTCCCGAAAGAGTGCGCGGCACGTACCGCCCTCCGCTGGAAAACTACCCCATACTGAACTGTGATACTTTGTAAACAAGGGCCATGAAAAACCTGCTTCGGGCGGGAGGCTGTACCTATGAGTGTGAGTCACTCCGCGCGAGCCAGCTAGACGCCATACACACGAGGCTTGGTGTTGCCAGGGTGAAGAGCATAAAAGGCTTTTGGGTGTTATTTTGGGGGTAGTAGAGCTTTTTATGGAGTATAAAGACTTTTCCATTCGAGGAAAACATCTTGAGAATGTGCTAAGATGCGGTGAAAGCTTTCAGATTATTTGTAAACCTTATTGTGCTCACTCTTATGATAGTTTAGGTATGGTCTGACTAAATTTTTATCCTGGTAGTGGAGATGGACAGAAGTTGGAATGATTTTGTTTGTGGTTTTCCAACGGGCAGTCTTTTAATTTCCAGAAAGAAGAAGCCTGTGCGTATTTTTCAAAACAAAAGTATGAAACAAATGTTAGTTATGAAATAACCTAACTTCAACCCTTGTAGCAGTGGCGAGCTGACCCAGTTCCCGCGGTAAGTTTGTTGTTTTCGGGTGCAGCAACACCGCGGCGTGGGGCCGACGGCGCAGGCGCGCGCGGCGGTCGATAGGGCCCGCCAGTCCGCGCCGCGCCGGGCCCCAGCGTGCCCGCGCCGCCCGACATGAGGGCGAGCGCGCTCCTCTCTCTGCTCACCGCGCTCGCCGCTACTACCTTCAGCCATGCCGAGAAGAGCAAATTCTGTAAGTACCCTCAATATTCACCACTGTTTTATTCAAGATTCCTCTCAAAAATCACCCCGAAACCCGGCGTCACCCTTCGCGGGCTAATGGAAATTTGAGAAATAAAAATCGATCCACACACCGTAGCCGACTCCTCAAAATTAAAGTGAGCACCTCGACGCCGCATGAAACTGCAGTTTCTTTCACCGCATCGGAAATAGGTCACGGAGACAATAGTAGTAAATGGAGTAAGCCTCGTACTAGGGCGTACGATTCTATGTGTGGGTGTGATTCCGTATTCAATTCATTACCTAGTTGGGGTTGAAGCGGTCTTCATATTTGTGTGGCGATGACGATCCCCAGAGATTACCGCCACGCCGCGCTGTCGTTTGTACAAATGTACACATCGCCTAAATTAGCCCACAGTCCTACTTAGAAAGGTTTGAAACTGAAAAGTTTCGGGGAAAAGTTGTTAGACATAAAAATTGACAAACATCAACGAAAACTTCGGTAACTACAAATTCAATTATAGTAATGGCCACACAAATTAGTTTCGTAAAACTTTATTTGTACTCGTAGCGTAGTACGCGCCGATAACGTATCGGAACTTTTAAGCTTTTAGTTATTGAAGTATTGGTTCAACTTCTGCCAGCCTTCGGCCAGTTTGCTTGTGATTTTATCGACGGGCCCCGGGCCCCCGCAGTGGCGCGGGCCCCCGGCTAAGAGGAGGGTCTCCCCGGGGGCCAATTTGAGCGTTTTATCAACAGGTAGATGAGACCCGACGGACAGACTCGAGCCCGCGGAGCTGGCCGCCACCGTCATCTGGGTAGGCAACCCGAAGATGGCCGAGAGCTTGACTTCGGTGTGGTCTCGGCCTAAATTGACCACGACCAGCAAAGAGCCGGGCCCTCCCCAGCGGAGTACCGCTAAAGCGTTCCCCAGTCGTTTTATCTGTAAAGATACGTTGTAGGTTATCAAAGGAGATGAACTTCCAGTGATGTTATTAACTGGACTATTTTTTTTAGTTTATGAAAATTCTGATATAATTTTTGTCATAGGTGAATTTTAAATTATCCTAACATAATATACCGTTACCAAATATACTTACGTCTACATGCGGTCCTATAGCCGGAGACGTTCTCATGGCAGCTGCAGTTCTCATCACCCCCACATGGCTGTTGTTGTTAGCGAACTCGGTCTTAGCGTTGGCATATCTATAGTTCGGCGCAAGAGGCATCCACGGCTCCCCTGTTGTGAAGCCACCATTGGCCGCGTCGCTCCAGGGGAAAGGCGCGGCGGCAGGGACGGCCGGGCCAGGGTAACAGGTGTTGGTAGACGCCGCCCATTCCAAGATGGTGTCGGCCACCCCCAGCTCGTCTCCCTGCTGTATAACCACGGCCCCAGGGAGAATTAAGGCCAAGAGGTTCACGGCGTCCACCATCTCGCTGCCGTAGCGGGTCGCTATACGGCTTTGACTGGGCGCGCTCGTCTGTAAATGTTATTAAGTAATGTTTTATACCGGCCAATACGAGTAGAAAGGAAATTATTTGTTTGAAGAGGAAGCATTAGTCAATTAACAAATTCGGCTACGTACATTTTATTACGCTATTTCTTGCGTAAATACACCTACCTACTTCATATTTGTACGTTAAAATGCATAATTGTAGTTATTTGAAACTGAAAAGTACAAGAGCTAAACTTTTCCGAAATATTTTCTGCTCGTTTGGCTCTTATTACTTTTACCATCGACTACTTACAATCCAAGTAGGGGTGGTATCCTGGGGGGCGTGTAGCAGTGCGCCGTAGAAGGCCAGGGCGGCGTCCGGGGCCGTCAGTCCATCGGGCTGCGCCAGCGCCGCGCTGAGCACACTGTTGGCGCCCACGCCTCCGTCCGCGTAGTAGCCAGATGCGGCGTGGGAATCTAGCGATGACTCCACTAGGATAACCCTGGGATAGAGCCAATTACTTATCATCATTATCTTTATAGGAAAGATTTGTAGTCCTTTTTTTTATGCTAGACAAGGCAGGTATTTGACCAGATATTTATATTTATAAAAGTTAAACTTTCTCGACTCAGACCACTTTGTCAAATCCTCCAGTTTGGTCAAAAACTTGTCGTATCAACAGCCTCCTATGGCGGCTCATTTAGTCTCATATGAGACTATTATAAGCTAGACAAGAGTTTGTGGTAACAACCATATTATAGAATTACTGCTAATTATACTTACAAGGACTTCCCCAGAGATGGTATCGATGATCCCGTGATCGAGCCCGATCTACAAACTTTGCGTATAACTTAATTTATGAACAGACTGGAGAGACAGTTTGTAACTGAAACTCTAAAATTCAATAAAAGCTTACGGGGTCTCCAAAGCGGATGATCTTGCACACGTCATGGCCTCAGCAGTCATTTTTCTCAGCAACTTCTCGCCGCATTTCTGGTTGAAGGGAAAGTCGGGGTTCAGCAGAACCCCCGAGAAGCCTCTTCTTAGCCAGGCACACTGGGCGGCTGACAAACCCGCCGCCACTGCCTCGGAACAAAAGTTCACCACTGCCTCGTTGTCTTTAGCAGCAAAGTACGCTGATCGGTCTTCATTCCATATCCACGATTCCACGCCATTTGTAACCTGGAAATATAACGTTAAATAATATGTTAAACGGACGTCTCTAAGTTTGTAGTTTTGTGATAAGATCTCTTACTAAGATGGAAGTGGTCTACTATTATAAAATGACGCCCAAAACTTTAACATAATATATTAACACCTTTAAATTACTAAAAATCCATCACAAGATAGATTTTTTTAGTTTTAAACAAGCTTTGTGCATTTATAATATCCCATTAATAAAAACACCCATTTTTTGGCAAGCTCTACCTAACTGCCTTTATACACATATGCACTGCGCGCCCCCGCAAGACGTTCGGAATTCCTAGACTCGTCAATTTTGATTTTATCAACTTCTCTTTTGTACTCGTATCTCGCAGATGCAAACAAGCACGATCTCGAATCGAATATCGGATTGTCTACGAGTACTTGTATATCACAAATCGCATTCTTACAATTGAGTTTGCTGGATACGTACTGGCGGTGTTTGATCAGCGCTCCCCGCCTGCCATACCAGTCTGTCGTCGAATCCCGTGACTTTACTTGCGCTTGAGTTGAACCATTCCGACGCGGTGCTGATTGTTGAGATGTAGAGCGAGATCACAATCTTTAGATCTGTAAAAACGTTTATAGGTGTTACATAAACAAAATAATTGCTTGAAGTTTTATTTATTATTTTATTAAAGGAAAAATGAACCTTTGTCTAATAACACAATATTGGAAAGTTTTATCAAAATTACTTCAGTGATTTTTGCGTGAATTAGTAACAAACATTTACTATCCATCTTCAAAGCTTCGAGTTATTTCATCACTGTTGGATTTCGGATTTCATTACCTACTAACTACGAATTTTGCGCAGTAAAAAGATAATTACGGCTATAAGATTTTAAACTTTCGCGTTCCATTTCTACTAAAATAGCCGTGAGTACAGTGATGTAACTCATAAAAAACTTCGCGTTTAGAACAGTGTCTCTCTATTTTATTTATTTACTTGTTTTCTCTATGCGAAACGCTTACCAACTTTAGCAGCTTTCTCCAAAAAGCTGGTCAAGGCCCCCATGTTTCCATACCGCGGGTCTAGTTCAGCAAAGTCCAGGACTCCTGGCTTAGAGCAGTCCGTGTTCTTTGCCGACAGAGGTGATAGAATCATAGCGTCAGCTCCTAACGCACGCACATAGCTTATTTGTTTCGTTGCTCCTGAAATTCAACTTAAATAAAACTTTTTACTTTTCAACTCCAAGATTTAAGTATCGGGTCTTGCAAAGCTCGACATTATATTTATTTTTCTGGTGATAATAAATTAGATTCACCCAGAAATGTCTTGAACAATGTGCTGCCGCGCACATTTGATTCCTATTCACTCCATGCAGGAATCGAACCCTTGAGTCGAGGGAACCTAAGACGAACCACTATACCAAGGTGGCGTTGGGTTTTGATGGCTCAAATATTAAAGTATAATTTAATTATTTATTGGTTTTGATGAACGTCCATTTGTTTGATAAGGTATTACGAATACAAACTAAATTATAAATGAAATGGTTACGCCGATGTACCTTCTAATATTGATTAACATAATTAATTAAAAATCTATTTCCTTAAAAATCATATAAATGAAGGTAGAAACTAGAAAGTATGAAAAAATTAAGCAATACATAATGTGTGTATGAATGCAGTCGCATTAAACTTTCAATTACATCACACAATTTGCACTGCCAATCATACTGGCTACACAATGGACATTACAGTAGGGACAAATGATACGCACGCCACATTTCCGGACAAGCGACACATATTACAGAAGCAGCAAGTCATCAATGAGTAAATGACAATTAAAGTTGCTCTTGAAACGTCATCACGAAGAGCAAACTTACTATTAGGGGGTCCAAAGATTTGTTTATTTGTATTGTATTTAAGAAGGTATAGAAATGCCCTCTTCTTGTAAAGATCAAATTCCTCATCATGCACCCCTCTCTTTCCAATAATAATTATAACAACGCGTGTTACTTCTATTCAGTTTAATTACATAATTTCAGATGTCCCAACAGAGTTTCATCTAAACTAGAAATCCCTTTTCCCCTGAAGCCTTCCCTTGTGAAATTCGCAGCACTCCGTAGTCAAATAGTACGAGTATATTTTTTTCGGAACACACTTAAATTAGGTAGGTATCTTTTAAAGGCTAGGCTTGTAAGTCCAGTAGCTAGCTCACTCACCACTCAAGTCCCCCAATCCATCTCCGTCCCCATCCTTGAAGGAGTCCACCAGGACCCTGTAATACACCACGTTGGCCCACCACGGGCCTGCTGCCACTGAATGCAGCGCCAGAAACAACGCGAGCGCACCGAACCACATCCTTGCAGGTTTTCAACGGATTTATCGTTGGATTATGGTTTTCGAATATACTCTAGTGATGTAGACTGTGGTGGCTTTGGTATCGGAACTGAGTTCTGGGTATTGGTATCAGCTGAAACTAGTATTTTGTTTATAAATCTTGCAAATCGATATGACTAGGCTAGACTGCTTAATTAGGACATTTAATTTCAGTAACAGAAATTCACATTGTCTACGTGGCGGGCGTATAAATTACCATTCTACATTTTAACGCATTCCCTAATTGGGATTCGGTTGCGTTATGTCGTAAATGGGTATTTGCTTTTCCCATAGCTAGGTATACCTCGATGATAGCTTCAAGGGGCTCGCGCATGTATCTGGCTCAATACATTATCTACTGTCAGCGGCGAGGCCGGGCACTCCATCTTGCTTCGCGCCTTGATTGAATGGTCGCACCTTTATGTGCCCCGAGGGAGCTTTGCGGCTATTCTCTAATTTACTCGGACTCGAGTTGCTCTTGTTTCCAACGTTGAGTTAATTTGATCATTGTACGAAAGTGCTACGTTCGTGATTCAGTGTGTTAACAAATGGATTGATTCCGTTCGTCTGTTGTGTTACACTTTAGTCAGTAATGTACGAACGACGCTATATCAAGCTGTATTGTGGCATCAAGTAGTTGTAAAAGATACTAGTAAAGCAACAAAAATTGTGCATTCGTTTGTACCTATTAATAGGTTGTGCCAAACGAAGTGCACTGTGTTAACGACATTGTGAATTAATTGATTATATTAACGAAGCAGGGTATTAGTGGCCATGTTTCTTGCACAGGGCATTAGGCGCCGCTCCATCTCCTTTCGCTCCTGATTGAACGTCCGCTCTTTACGGGTCCCGGGGGTGCCGTACGCTTCTGTCGCACCCTGCTCTAGCAAGATTACACCCTGTCCATGTATTTTACAACGCTTTCGGCCTCAAGACAACATTTTATAGAGGTCTACTTTTGGTATCTAATTATGTATGATACGACAGGAACGCCCATCGGAAAATAATAGCGGTAATTTACACCGTAGTTACTTCAATCGGCGATTATTAATTCAGGCTCGGTTACACGGTTGAACTATTGAACTTAAGTTTATTTAGTTTGTCGAAACGAAATATCATTTTATCGATGAATTAATTTCAGCCGAAGAAAAGGTATGATAGCTAGATTACAATCGGAAATGAAATATTCAAGTAGGTAAATGGACAAAAGAAAAGTAAATATTCAAAGCCAATGACGGCACTCGTTTTCCAAAGTATCAATGAGGAAAATACTTTTGCCCGTTGATGTATGGAATATTTTCTTTTTCCACGAACTATTCGCCGGCATACGCAATGTTAGTGACATTTCCTATCATTCAACTCACACAATCTGTAATACGTCGAGCTGGAGTACCGGCGCTGAACGCCGCGGTATCTCCAGCGGGGCGAGCACCAGAGCAATCCATCACTAGTCGGATGTGACACACCCTCCTAGTCCGGCCAGGTACACTCGGCTTCGGATATTAGGGCTGGTTCAAAGGGGGCCCTTATGAGTAGGTTGTTTGTCATATAAACTCCTTAGGTTGCACTGACTCAGATTCTTCATTCTTGCATTTTTAAGATCCATACTTTGGGCACAGTCTACTTTGTGCACCAAAAATTAAATTACGATAACTTTTGTAGTTATAGTAATTTAATTTTGGGACGTACGTTTCTGTCAAGCATTCTTGGCTGCAGGAATGAGCTGCAGCGACAGATGGAGTCGAAAAATTGTTTTTTAGTAGTGGGGAAATAACCCACAACAATACTTCTGAGCTGTACTTTCTTGATAAGAACTTAGGTACTTGCTTTTTCGTGTGTTACGTAACACAGAAATTGCGCCTTTTTTTTAAATAGTATTTTTAATATAGTTAGAGCTTACCTCTCGGAGGAGTAGTAAAGCAAGTACCATATATTACATTTTTGACGTTTGTAATTAAACGTCAAAAATGACACTATCCGTCGCAGGCCGAGTGTACGCAGGTACAGGCGGAGACAAATTACAGCGTACAGTATAATGCGGGCCATTGTGAGCGGCAATTTGCGCGGCGCTGGTTACGCTTAGTGATGTGTGCACTCGCTGGGTTGAATCCGGACTTCATCTCCTGGTTTCAGGCGCAGCATTTGTTTGTTAAGTGTTACTATACTATTTTATTTAAAAAAATTATACTGGTTAGATTGAAGGCACCCATTATTCCTCCTTTCAGTAAACTTGAAATAACACATTCAAGAGTAGAAGGATTTTTAGTCAGGAAGTGTATAAGGTATTACACTCAAAGGGGTTTTAAATGACTGTATCGTTTCTATTTTATTAGGTAGGAAATACACTTTAATCCGGGCGTTTTCAAGGCGAGAGTGAATAGGCACTTACAGGGCAGATATGTAGGTATGTACCACCCTAGACTGCATCTCACTTAACACCAGGTGCGATTGCGGTCAAATACCTGCCTTGTCTAGCATTAAAAAAATATATTTTTTTTTGTTTTCTTGAATTTATCAAATATCAACTTCTGCTAGCCTGAATTTTGGCCTTTCACATAAAGTTTTTATCTTATAAGATTTATTTTTGTGACCAAAGGCCACAACCAAGGTGTGACACGATAACATACTGATATTAGTGTTCGAAATAATGCGATAATACATGAGTATATTCAGACGAATACATAAATCATAAGTAATTTATAAACAGACCCAGGTGCTATAATTTGGAAATGCGTCAATTACTTACCAGATACTCGAGTACGCACGCAAGTACTTAAAAGAAGTACGAAGTGTGTCGTGTCGCGAGCGTCGCCACTGCTCGAACTGTCGAACAAACTTGCGCGATAAATATTCGTTAGCAGTCGTTGTTCGCTCGAGTTTATCTCTGTTGTGTTTATTTTGATCGCTAAGCCGAAACTAATGCGGATGGCGCTTCATTTTTTTAAGTAGTACAATAAGCAAGTATTTTCACTGCAATTTATTTATTTTATTTTATTTTTATTTTATTTGTTTAACAATGTTTCAACAGCATTAAATTTTACATAAATGTGCAGGAAGATACAACTTGAACATAAGCCAATTAAAGAAACACATTCTATTACTAAAACATTTTTAACTAATGCAATGCAAACTTAAGTGTAGATGAAGCTTAGCCGTAGGTGATAGCGTTTGGACAAACAATATTAGGTAGTAGAGTAACAGTCTGCATGTGCAGTGCTTATGAAAAGCACTTGCCACGTTACATCAGTGTTTTCCTGAAATAAAAATTAATTGAATTGACAAATATTATCACACGTACGATCGGATGCAGTCGCATTTTTATCGCACTGCACCAACTGCAATTATGATAGTGAAATTAATTAAAATGCGATGCGATTTTGTGATAAATCATCATTTATTTATTAATATAATTTATAAATATTATCATTAAATCTAGCTTCACTTCCAAAACAGTAGGTACCGCGACTCGAAAAAACCTACAAACATCAGCCACTAGCAATTTGAATGGAATATTTAATATTAACTTGTAATACTTTAAGCAGGAATTCTGGCAATCTAACTCATAGCGAAGTGAAATATAGAGTCAAAGGACTGCGAGGTAATAGGTACGAGTATTATACATAAAGTCCAGTAGGTACGTTCTTGTTTACACAGGCGGACCCCGAAGAACCAATGCTTCTCCTGGCTGTAGAGTCACTTCTCCAAGCTCAATCGTGTCTCTGAAACAAAAAACAAAGATACATCATCACGATCATTGCCGGTCAGACAGATATGTTCTTAGAGTCAAAGCACGCCATATGTTGCGGCAACATAGCAGTGTTGCTCCGTAAGAAAGAAATATCTGTGGTAGACACACGAGCGGTCCAGTGCCTCGTTGCGGGCATATTTNGCGTATTCTTTGCGGTGCGACGCCACAACGCATCGTGTGATTTGGCTCTTAGAGAGTGATCTTTTTCTAGAGCTTGTACGGAACCCTGGAATATCTGGACCTAATTTAGATTGACGAGCTACAGTAGGTCACGATTACCACACATGTTGAAACGTCATCAAACAATATTACGGCACCATAAATAAATGACTTCATCGTTATCACTTTTATGACAGACAAACGCGTAATCTTTTTATTGCGCTTTTGTAAATAATATTTTGGCTAGTGGTATGTCGAGAACTTTCCCTGTTGAACCATATTTATTAATATTATCTTATCAATAAGTCAAGGTTACAAAAGTTTTCCATCTAAGTACAGCGCACTTGACAGCATTCTAGTCATATTTATTAACTTAAATAATGTTTAAAATATCCAGTAAGCTTCCAGAAACAGACGGTTAAATTAAACCGGTCGATTTCGCCGTTAATCATCTCGACAAGCTCGGGCTTCAAACTCATTTCCTGCTCTCTGATAAAGCAAGAATGAAACAAAAGTACTTAACAGAAAATCTCAAGTTATTATCAATTTATATTACGATATACTAGTTTTTATTGCTTGATACTCGTATATACTGCTGAGTTTATGTAACTGTTTTCTTAGCTTACATCGGTAATCATCGGTTACGTAATAAAATTTTTAGGGACTAATTTTCTGGCTTTGGTTTTCTTTAATACTGACCCAAATTAAAGTTTCGAAGCAAGGCAGGGTTAATTTTCAAAAAGTTATATTTGGACATGCTAAAGAGCAGTAAAATGTTTTTTTTTGTTGATACACTAATTAAATTTTTCCTTCTTCCAAAAAAACATTAAAAACTTACCCGCTGGCCCTACTCGAGTGAACACTCCGCTCGTACACCGTCAGGGGGCCGCTCAGTAATTCAATTGCGGTCAGGTCGGCAGTATCAGCAGAAGTTCCGACGTTGAACAGCAGCACGAAGGTGTCGTAGGTGGCCAGGTAGCGAACCAGCGCGAGGGTGTCCTGGGTTAAAGCCTGCACGTGGTGCTGACCGTGGGATAGGGTGGTCTCTGAGCGACGGAGAGCCGTCATGGATTGGTAGACCTGGTGGTTGGAAATAATATAGGATG